TGGCCCCGTCTCCACCGAGGGTCCCCTGGAAGGATGAGCAGGTTCTACTCAAGTAGCACAACCAAGGTCCAACCTCTCCACCTCGTCTGGCACATCCCACCGAGGTCACTCCATGGCTCAGATCCAGACCTGGCCCAGAGAACGGCCCTGCGCTGCGCCGCTGCTGTGCTGCGCTCGCTTCAGCCCATCACCCGGAATCCTCTGCCCGGTACACCTTCAACACAGGGAAGGCAGGTTTTGAGGGGTGCCGGACACCCACAGGTTTCACTAAAAGGACGCGAGGCAGCTTGGTGGGCTCCCCCTCGGCTTGTGGGTGCTCCTTCCTTCTGCCACCCGATGACGGGGCGATGGGTGTTGTACACTGTCTGCTGCGGCCATGCGATTCTGCAGCAGCCGCACAGACACACACAATCCTGCTCTTACAGAGTCCTTCAGAAACATGAGGCGTTGCCATTCCATTGTAAAACAAATGCTTTTTTTGCCTTTGTACAGGAGACAGGGCAATGCCTTAGATTTAATGCATTAGTTCTGCGTTAAAAATGCACAGAACAGATTTTCAGCTCAAAAAGGAATTTGGCTGCGAGGGCTGGAGCCCCTCTGCTGGGAGGACAGGCTGGGAGAGGTGGGGGGGTTCAGCCTGGAGAAGAGAAGGCGAAAAAGGGGAGAGCTCAGAGCCCCTTCCAGTGCCTAAAGGGGCTCCAGGAGAGCTGGGGGGGACTCTGCATCAGGGAGGGGAGCCGTGGGATGAGGGGGAACAGTTTGACACTGACAGAGGGCAGATTTACATGAGATATTGGGAAAAAATTCTTGACCGTGAGGGTGGTGAGCCCCCGGGGCAGGTTGCCCCGAGAAGCTGTGGCTGCCCCATCCCTGGAGGGGTTCAAGGCCAGGTTGGGCGGGGCTTGGAGCAACCTGGGCTGGGGGGAGGTGTCCCTGCCCCGGGCAGGGGGGGGAACAAGATGAGCTTTAAGTTCCCCACTAACCCAAACCATCCTGTGATTCTATGATCCTGCACACACCAATGCAAACAGATGGGGGGGGGGGGGGGGGGG